ACAGGGGGACAGCTGAAAACAGGGGGACAGCTGAATTTTGCCTGAAACTCTCAGACTGAAGAAGTCTCTTGGAAGAGAGACGAAACGTTTCATTAAAGAAGAACCCGTCCAGAGGACCTATACAATTTTTTTTCCTTTTGTCATTATGGAAAATTTAACTCCTCATTTTGAATCAATACTTTTCCTTTTGATACTTAAGTACAAAGAATATCAGATACTTTGACTTTTACTCAAGTAATATTTCTAAAGAAGACTTTAAGTTTTACCAAAGTCATTTTTTGGTAAGGTACTTTTACTCAAGTATCATTTTGTGGTACTTTACACAACACTGACTGGCTCTTTGAGGGCCACCATAAAATTCATGTGGCCCTTTGTGAAAATGAGTTAGACACCTCTGGTTTCATATATCTTTGTGACGTAACTGAATGCTCAAAGATGAACATTTCTAAATAAATCTGAGTTGCCATAAACAAAAAGCAAATGTTGAGGCATAATCGTGATTTTAACATACAATTTGTGGAGGGATCTGTTTATCTGATGTATACGTGCTCAACATTTTATTACTGTCTTCTCTAATTTCCGTTGGCCTACTTGTTTCTTTGTAAACTCTGTGAAAACAGCACCTTGTGAGATTAATAACTTGAGAGATGGGTTGCAGATAAGAAAAATGGCGCAACGTCCTTTGTCTCCAGTTTTATTGTGATTTTATCTCCTTCGTAGGTTTGCACTTATGTTCTCTGTTGTTTTATAAAACTCTCCAATGTGTTTGATGTTTATTATAAATGAAACATACATTTTAAAACAGTATGTATCCTGAGAATCTAATCATGCTAGAAACTGACCCAACAACAACTGGAGAATTGAAGGTTTTTTTTGTTTTTTGTTATTTTCTTTTTTTTTTTCTTTTTTCACTACTGGGGTTCGCCGACAGCTAAAAATACACCAAAATGATCACTATTGATGCTGTGAGGCACTGAAGAGTGAAGGGTTTTAACGCGATGATATGAAGTAATGATTCATAACAGATTCAATGCTTTAAAGCCAGTTTTAGTAAAGGGTGTTGAAAGTCCACATTCAGATCCGTGTCTCTTCCAGAAACAATAGAGTGATGGAGCTGGGAAAAAAACCATGAAACATTTAGAAATATTCACAGTGAGATTCTATTTGATTTTGGTACTTCTGACATGAACTTTAGAACATTTTGCTTCTTGGCTGTCAAATCATAGACAAATGATATCAAAAATTTGACAACTTGAATTGAAAGTAGCAAGTACATTACTTCCCAAGCACATTTACAGAAAATGAACTGGTGTAATGCATAATTTGAAGGCTTCTTCCTCCGCTACCTGTTTCCCTTCTTGTTCTCTTTTTATCACCCACATTTGTCTGTAGTACTGGCAAAATATCTCCCAAACCATTAACTGGTTTAATGAAAACCTTAGAAAGTAAAAATTGTATGTATAAACCAACCAATTAACAAAACCTTAGCAAACAAAATGTGCTTATAACTCTACCGGTTCTACAGATATWGAGCAAAAATTTGTTTTGTAGCTGAAAATCATAAACCATACTCTGAGCATGGCATTACACAATAAGGCATGGACATTTAAGGTTGAACCTAAACTACTTTGTACTCTATTTTTTTCTTTATGTAACGGGGTTCTGTGGAGTTGTAATCAGCAGTCAGTAATTTACCTGCACTGGACAGTTGTCAGAATGATCTCTGTTTGGAGATACAGAGATAAATAGCCATGGGTATATCGGTCTTACAGGTAATCAAAGTAGAGTCTTGTGCCAAGTTTAATTTTTATCCAAAATCAAAACTCAGATTTAGAATGACATCACATTCAACTTAACCATGTTTCAGTTGTTAGGCGATAAACCACAGTGAATCATTTTGTTGTGGTCAGTGACTAAGCTTACTTCATTACAAGCTAATAATTATATTTTAGTTGTATGTTCTCTGAGAGGTTGTACAGTTAAAAATTATTCCAAAAAATGGTATTCTTAGCGACTGCAATGATCTCTATTTTTTGTGTGAAACAGACATTTTGGATTTGAGTGCAGGGCTGGTGAAAAACAGTTGACTTTCCGGGCCAAATTTTTAACTTCAGGGTCATTCAAGGTGATTTTTTTTAATCTTGGACTCAGAATTTTAAATTTCTTATTCACTGTTCAGAGCAGCTGTCATCTATTTAAAACTGAGCAGTTTATAGCAGTGTCTTGTAGTATCAGGCATACATTTTTATTTCTTGTACAGGTGGTGTTATTGCATTTTTTTTCTCAGGTCCACTTTTAAAATTTTTATTATGATTCATGATTAATAAGATTAATTAAAGTCACTGTTAAAAGTTGTTTTTTAACACGAAATAAACTTTAAGGAACCACTCTGAAATGAATATGGGTAATTATGTTATAATGTCCGGACTTTGATGCAAGGGTCAAAATGCTTTGAAAAGAGTTACTTTTCTTTTGCGCAAAAACATTACAATGTTTTGCATTTAATTGCTCTGAAAGTCTAAAAGGGCTGCTCACAGTGAATAGATCAGTAGTCTACCACTGCACTGGAAATATTCATGATTTTCCAAAGATCAAACAGTGATATTTACCTAAGAGCAGTCAGCAGATTAAGTGTGTTGATGGTTGTAAAACTGTGGCTGAGTACTTACCCACGATGCAGTTTAGTGGATTAAGGAATGCCACAGTCACACTCACTTAAACATTTGTGTCAACAAGGACAGCATCTCCCAAGTCACTGGCTAAATCAATGTGCTGTACGCACTCTTGGATGCTTTAGAGGCTTTAGAGGTTATGCAAATGAACAAGGCAGGGATGTGACATTTTGAAAGCCCTGGATGGATCACCCCTATTAGCAAAGGCTTTGACTGATCTTAAAAGGTACTTTCCCCTCCCACGATGGCAGTTTATTCTACTCTCTCCTTCCTCTTTCAACATGATTTGTGGTCAGCGGGGTCGGTGGTGAGTTCATATAAAACAAACATGGGCTCGGCTCTGAGGGAGCCCACCTGTGAAATGGATATCCACGGTAAAGAAGCTGTCACGATTCAGGAAGTGCAGAGCACATAAATTATTTATGCCTTGCATCAGAGTGGACAAAAGTGGTATAAAAAAACTGAACCAACTGAAACTTAAATTGTTCAACATTTACTGCTTCTCTGATGTTTGTGGGAAAAGGCTGTGCAGTTAAAATAACAGTTCATGAAGAAATGCATGTCGCCCTCCACTTTTAATCCAAGTASTTTATACTAAAACTATTTTATGCTAAGAAATGTTGTAGTCATTTTGGTCAAACACTGAAATTACTAGTGATGTGCAAATCATTTCTGAAATTTTTATGCCATCAATATCACAACTTTACGCTTTAAAATCAGATTTAAAATCAAAATATTGATACTGAAATTGATCACAATGGCCCTGTGATAAACTTGCGACCTGTCGATGGTGTACCTCGCCCCTCGCACTGTGGCTGCAGGATATGGGCACCAGTGATACCCGTGACCCTGAAAGGAATAAGCGGGTATATAATGGATGGGTGGAT